AGCGGTCGCTTGGTTCCCGCGGTCGCGACATACCAGGCGGTGCGAGCTGCGAGGGCCGTCAATACCGCTCGCGGTTTTAATTTTTTATTGTTATTTGGTAATTTCTGAAATTGATTTATTTAATATTTGTTTAATGTGTGTTAAATTTGTTAATTGTCTGAAATAAATTCATTCATTGATTTAATCCAGTTTTTTAGTTATACTTTACCTAAGTGTCCTTACAGATGGTTAAAAGTGTTTTGGCAATGTCCAGATGAAGGTGGAGTGACAGCGGAGCCGGGGCAGGTTAGCAGCTGAATACAGTAGCAAACCTGTCACTTGCAGGTTTGTCAATGCACACCACCAAGTTGCAGTGACAGTGAACAAAAAGCCTCAGTTATCTTTTCGCCCAAGTCTGTTTGTGCTCCCAGTTTTCTGGAACTTCAGCTCTTCTGAACTTTTTTAGCTTCTAGCGGTAATGGAACTGTGACGTTCTACTTTCCTCTAGCTTCTCTTTGCTCTTAACTATCTGGAACTGTTTTCTTCTGAGGTTCTCTGGCCTTTGTGAGAACTGTGATGTTCTGCTTTCTTCTCAGTGCTTCAGTCTGAGATAGTGGAGATCAGAGAGGGGGTGAAGTCCGTCCTGCTGCCCCTAAAAGCCAACAGAACCTTTCCCCGGGATGCCAGAGTGGAGTGGACCCGTTATGACCAGAACATCAGAGTCCATGTGTTTAAGAACGGCCAGACCCAGCCTGAGGAACAGGAGAAGATCTATGAAGGCAGAACAAAGATGAGAGCAGAACGTGTGACTACAGGAGACCTCAGTCTGACTCTGAAGAGACCCCAGCTGGAGGACAATGGGGACTATGAATGTGTCGTCTACAGAGGAGGAGACCTGCTGCTGAAGAAAACAGTGACCCTGAAGGTCAAAGGTCAGTCTGACTCCACATTTATAAGCTGGTCCAGGTGACCTTGCTCTGGCTATATATATATCTACACATTCACAGATGGTGCATCATAGATGTCTGACCTTTATAAAACATAAATCTGTATTTAAACATCCACCTTATTTTAAGTAATCCTCACCTTTTTGCAAAGCCAAATGGAAAAGCAAATAACTGAGGAACTGTAAGCCCAGATTACACGTGATACATCGTTTGAAATATAAAAATGATAAATATAGTTGTTTTTTTCTTGAAAATAATAGATCGTTTTGAATAGCAGTAACAAAGACATGCTTGAGAATAGGCACGTCTATTACATGTATTGTTCATTATGTCAAGAGAAAATTTCAGACCTCTAGGACCTCTCAGCTAGGACTCCCTTGAAAAAAAGAGGTTTTTAATATCAATGGGATTTTTTCCTGGTTAAATAAAAAGAGGTTCTAGAGATATGGGATTTTTTAATTTATGTAGTCATCAGCTTCTCCAAACCTCACCAATTGATCCAGATTATTTCAAATTGTGCTATTTTTCACACTGGAACATTTCAATGGAAAAAAAAGCATTTTTGAAGCAAATTTGTTTCTATTTTTCTAACAGTGTACAATGTTCCAGTCACTAATGTGTCTCTGTGCCACTTTTGCCCAGCAATATATCCAGGCTGCAGTATTCAAACTAGCCATGTTTACGCTTATTTGAAACCTTATTTCATTTGCTACAAAGCCAAATAGGGCACGTGGTCTTAACCAATGACAGCAGGACTCTATAATGCATAAAATAGCACTGTCATGATTTTATCAAGAGCTCAGACCCACATGCAGAAAAACCAGTCCAGAGAGACAAGGGAAAAAGTTTAACAGGTTTATTGAGAAGTTTTGTGGAGATTCCAGTGTTGCTCTGAACACTGCTCAACCGGAACTGAAAGGTGTAGGGAAGACACTGCGGTTAGTTCAGGTTCAGTGGGAGAATTGTTTTTCGAACTTGTAGAGGAGAAAAGGTTGGCAGACTCACGTTTCCAGAGATTAGGTTGACTTTAGCAGGTCGACAAATGTGTTCCGGTGTTTGTCTCATACGAAGGAAAGCAGACAGGGTTACCCAGAATGCGGTTGCTTGTAGGTGAACGGAGAAAGACTGACTGCCACTCAGATTTCCTGTGGTACTTGAACCGACTGTTGTGCAGATAATTCCCTTGCTCAGTGTGAAGTTCAAACGTTTCCTTGGGGAAAAATGGATCCAAAGCTCCGGTTTGTATCCTCAGCTCAGTTGATCTGTCCAGGGAGAGAAGGTCCGAAAAATCCAGTTTGCAGGATGACTTGCTGCCGAGAGGCAAAGACAAAAAAAAAAAAATGTTAAGACTCATGTTGACAAAAATTCAGTTTGACTCAGCAAATCTCAGCTTGGCTAGAGTACCCAAAGCTGGCAAACACTTTGGCGTCGGGGTAGTGGCAGTCAGCAGGTTAGGAACACTCCGTTAACGAGGAAACCCCTTGCAGGAGAATCAGAACCATGCGCCACCTGGTGGTGGAAGGAAGACAAACACACAGAAACACAGACCACACAGACTGGAGTCCTAACAAGCACTACTCGATGTGTCATTGGCTGATAGACAAGGAGCGCTTGTGATACTTCAAGCGCTGTCCCTGAGTCAAGTCTAATCATACAAAGGTGCTGACACTTTTGTTTTGTAGGCAGGAAAATGATGGAAACAAACGCACCAAACATTGAAGGCAAATGTTTCAGGAAGTATTATTAGCGAGATGCTAAGCATTAGCTATGACCAGCTAACTTTTGTGATGTCATAAAACGGATGTTATGTGGTTATTTTTTCATCATGGAATGTTTTTATCATGAATATGCTGGATTACTTATAATCTGTGGACGCTTATGGACAAATGGAGTAGAAACAATTGGAGATTGGTTATATAAAACAGCTTTTGGACGCCTTCAAAGGGATGTTGTCACAGCTGCTTTTTCCTATTTACTCTTTACCATGCTGCTCTATCTGTGTTAATTGTGCTTTGGTGCTGGTGGGATGAAATATAGAAATATTTACTAAATTATTACCTCAAACAGCTCAAAAAACAGAAGCATTAAAATGGTGATCAAGATCAAATCAAGATCAACCATCAGCCTATCTGCCAACTCTCTCAGTTTCTGCGGGAGACTCCTGGTTATTACTGGTTGTCTCCCACTGAGCTCCCGATCATCTATTAGTCCCACTAATCTCCAGATTTTTCAGTAAAGGAAAAAATTAAATGTGCAGTGGATATATGCATGCATGTAATGAATGCAGGTCTTGCGGGGGACATGTCCCCCACACTTTGCCTATCTGTCCCCTGCAATTTTTTCAGCCATTACAAAAAGTTAAACCTGTCACGAGTGTGCTGTAACTTTTTTTTCTAGGCTATCTTTGAATGCATCATGATCACACACAGGCAAACACACAAGTTTGACATATGAGTCATGATGCTGAGCAGAGCTGAATTTGGGCATCGGGATGTTTAGCAAATGAGCAGCAAGGAGCAAAAAACTTTGTAGATGTACCAAAAATCAGTGTAAGCTGTGTAACACTGTTTGCAAATTAGACTTAGTTAAATGATTATGGGTAAAACGTGCCAATATATAAATATATTAAGCCGGTTAACAATTATTTCAAACGTTGCTGCTTCTGTGACATTAGCTTGGTAGTTTATTCCAATCCTCTTTGACTTCTGGGCAGACTTTATGCTCACAGTTGCTCTACGGATATTTAAAATAAGTCACAATAGAGAGAGGGGAGTCAGTCAGATGGGGCACCGCCCATCACTGAAAAATCTGGTTTGACAAAAACACAGGTTAGCAACCATGATAATCCGACAGAGAATGATAATCCATGAGTCACTAACCTGGTTTATCAGTTCAGTCCATCTCCAGAGAATGAGGTACGATCCAGCCGGTGGAGGGCTGCCAAGTAGATGTGGAGGGCGCTGCTCAGAGTGAAGCAGCTGTGCAGCCCTGGAGAACATGCAGGAGTCTGAGCCAGGTCAGGCAAACAGATAAGAACAGGAAGGCTCAGAGGGCCAGGAGTCCGAAGCCCTGTCAGGGAAACCGATGAGAACAAGAACAGGCTGGTAAAGGGTTCCAGGAGTCCAACAGGCAGAGGGTTCAGATGGGAACAGGCAGGTTCAGTGGTTGAGAGGCAGATCAGCTCAGGAAACACCATGGAACGATAAAAACCCTCTTTCCATTCACTCTTCTGGTTCTCATTTCAACAATTAAAATGGCTTTTTTTCTTAAAAACCATTAACTCAATTGCATAGAAACCACATTTTCAGAATAAGGTTCTTCATCAGGTTTGAAATACAAGGCAGGAAATGACAAAATAACTACCTCATTGTTAGGTTTCTGTTTCTGTTATGTTTTTCTTTTGCTCCTTGATTTCTAGTGTTTAGTTTTCTTTTCACCATGTTTCTTTATCCTAGTTATTTGATTATTATTTTGTTGTTGTTTTCTTATTAGTTCCTGTCTTCCTGGTTCTCCATTTGTTGTCCTCTGCTGCCCTCTTGTGTCCTCTTGCTCTGTTTTCTGTTCAGCCCTCACCTGTTTCCAATCCCCTCATTAGCCCTCTCTTTGTCTCTGTCCCCTTTAAAAGCCCTCCCTCTTCAGTTCCTGTTTGCTGGATCCTCGTCTAACCTCTCGTCATCGTCTGTCTGCCTTCCTCGTCTCTCCCTGGTTCCTAGATTCTGGTTTTCCCCTGATTCACCTTGGCTCTGGTTCGTTAGTTATTTTGTTAGATTTTTGATTCCTGCCTCAGTGCCTGAATTGTAATACACCTAGTGGTGCAACCTGGACACATCTTCAGTGACTCTCCCGAGATCACTGGGTGTTTCGGGTCTTAGTCATACACCCTCACTCGGGCGACCAAGCCAGGGGTGATCAGTTCCCCGACTTATGTCTAGGTAGCGCACTACGCCACACCTCCCCCCTCCTCAACCAGAGCCACCGTGAAGCCTTTTCAGCTGCTTCCAAGATGTTCTTGGTTGCTCTTCGTCTCTGCAGACCGCAAATCCCTAGGAGTCCAAGGACACGGTGTAGAGATCTGCCTGCGAAGCCCCTGCAGCCCACTTCAATAGGCTCGCAGCCGGCCTTCCAGCCATTCCTCCAGCACTAAGCCACAAGTTCTGTGTGTTTAGCCCTCTTCCTCTCCTGGGCTTCCTCTATTCTGTCCTCCCAAGGAACAGTTAGTTCAAGCAGCACAACCTGCCTGGTGGAAGTTCATTACAGCACCATGTCCGGACGGAGTGTCGTGGTTGCAATGTAATCCGGGAATCTCAACTGCCTCCCCAGATCGACCAAGAGCTGCCAGTCCCTTGCTGTCGTGAGCAGGCCCCCTTGGGTCTTCTTGGAGGGTTGCAGTTTCTCCCCTGCTCGAACAAAGGCAATCATGCTCCTGAGAACCTTATTAAACCACTTAAATTCACCTCTGCCAACTCGTCTCTGCATTTGGGTCCTCCTCAACAAACACCATTTCCTGACACTCATGAGACGATAAGCCAATACAAAAATTAACCACTATTCACAACTCAGTTGGCAACAAAATCTCTCACTGCAGAAAAAAAAAACAGCTATAAGTTACTCTGGCATTTGTTGTAGTTCCTTCTCATAATTTCTCCTTATTCAGATAAGGTAAGATAGATTTTGTTGATCTCACAGTAAAGAAATTCATTTGTCACATCGGCTCAATACTTATAAGAAGGTGCCAAAAGTTGAAAAGGTTAATTATGTATATACAGTGTGTCCACCTATATATAGTGGATCAAAAAAAACAAACAACAAAAAACAAAAAAATAGGGCTGTTGGTTCAGCAGAGAGCTCAGCAGCAGCAGCGTCTAGCTTCTGACTTTCCAGTGACAGACCTTGGTTTAACTGATCAGCTCTTTCCCTGAGAGCAGCAGGTGGATTCCAGAGTGTGATCTTCAGGTTTGGCTCTCTAGGGCAGGCAGGCAGGTAAC